CCCCCCCCCCCCACAACTTGTCTAGTTTTTTGAGAACTTAGGCAAGGAAGGCCTCTCTTATCGATCTTACTCAGATGTGAGTCATCATTTTTTGAAAGGTAGGGTTGTTAATGCGTATCTTTTCGCGTGGTGAGGGCGCCAAAGCTAATTAATTTGCAGCTGTGTGGTTTGTTTTCTTTGTCTGGCTTAAATGGCAATGTACTACTCAGTTTACCCAATTTTAACTTTACTTTTATATGTTAATTAAGGCTCTATTATTGTTGTGTGAAGTTGGATTGAATGGTAGAAAAAGGATTTAATTCCTGCAAGGAGTTATACAATTTCCTTGCTTTTATGGAAAAAATCTTTATTTTCTTACCTGTTTTCATAAAAGCAAACCACTCCATGTTTTTCTTGAAATCAGAATAATATTAGGGCCTATGTCTAGTTGCGGATTGACCTTATGATCAGCTCAGGCACGCTTCCCCCTCTCCAATCAGTATTAATGGCCTGATTCCTGGAGTAAAAACACTCAAGGAGTTTGGAACGTTCACTGGTTTGGCCCTCCGGATCATGTTTTCCTTTCAGAATTCAGTTTTCCCCATGTCCTCACTGGCCATACATTGCGCAAATTAATGATAGAATGGGTCGTTGCAATTCATTGAAGAGCCTGCAGCTGGGGCGTGGGAGGGGGGGGGGGGGTGTGGGGAGGGCATTGCAGGGTGAGGAAACCTTTTGAGACAACTTTCCATTCGAAATTCTTTCTATTCGTTTCACTTTACGCGCATCATTAGATTTCTACAGAGTCATATCACAGTCACTTGATTTTTTTTTAAATTTTTGCAATCATTAAAAGATCTTCCGAATGAATTTACCACTTTCTTAAATTATTCCGATATTTCGATATCCGATATTAGTATGATAAAGTTTTCGAAAAGCACAGTAGTAGACACTGAAAATTATCCTTCAGAAGTGCTGAAAAAAACAGTAGAATTCAAAATGGGTATCAACACAGCTTACATTGGTCATCAGGTGCGCTTAGGAGAGAGAAAGCTCTGAAGGCATCTTCGAAGAGCGAAAAGTTTTTCGTTTAAACTATTCAGATATTGTCAACACTTCTTCAGCGAAAGTCTGATATGTTTTCTCATTGGCAAAATGAAACCAATGAACTACTTACATTGAACAGTTCCTAATCTAGGCAAAAATAGCCTGGCTTATTCATCTCTCTGAAATTTGGATAAATTCGTTTCGCTAAGTGCCCTCCTTACATTTTCAATACCAATTTATTAAGTTTAGCCTGTGTCAAGTAGACTATTTTTTTCCTAGAATTAAACTATATTTCCGCCTTGGCATTACCACTGTCTTTCAATTTAAAAGTTTGTCAATAGAAAAAACTTGGCAATTGGGCTTAATAATTTAAGATTATTTTGTTATGATCTTCGATTCATCTTCTCACTTTCATTCCTTTTAAACCTGTCTGTATTAGGGCGCAAAAGGAATTTTTCTCCTCTCAGGTTGTTTGACCCCTCGGCCCAATGACCCCATAAGGCACGTTATACCACGTTTGTTTAAATAGAACGCCTAGAAAAATGCATTAGTGAGTCATCCCAACCGCCCCCCCCCCTTGAGTTCACACTTTGTTCGATGTAGCAAATGACTGAATTAAGATGGGATCGAGTATTGTTGGTGTAATGAGAATGATTCTTTCTTGACCCGTTCAACCGAATGGGGTCTCCTCATTGCTATCTTCCTGGCTAGACATTTATTTATATCAAATGGCAGGCGTTTTGATAGTTATCATTAACCCTGGAGCTGACTTCGGGGCTTCACAGGGAGGAGGAGGAACATCAAATTGACAAAACGTCGAGAGGGAGAACAGAAGAGTGAGTCACAAATGTAAAAGAGACAGAGAGACACAAAGGCATTAAAAATGTAAGATGAGTACTGTGGAAGGGGTCGAATATGACAAATAATCTGGCCATAGAAGTTTGGAGTCAGAAGTCAACTGCCGATCAATAGACTTTTTTTGCCATACAAGTATACGTTGCCCAGGATGCACCACGTGGAAGCAAGTCTATCGCACACCCCTCTATTTTTATGTAGTTGTAGTAAGGCGCCGTGAGTAGTCAAGGTCATTTTGAATACAGACTAGCCTTTGTTTTAGTGGTTATACAAATGCATGTTACATTCTACGCCCTTTTTTGTGTATATGACGTTATATCCCTAATTCCTCACTCGAATTTTCGAACTGTATCTACTATAAAATGAGTAACCTGTGTTGCAGAGATTGGAATTTAAACATATCGTAAGGACATGGTGTAGGGGGGGGGGGGCCAGAGGCACAGAACTGGACATATCCGAATTGGCAGCCTAAAACGATTCCCCAAATTGGGAGAGGAACAGCTAATTGGGAGCTAATTTTGCCTACCTCGCCATAGCCATATTTTGCAATCCATCTTTACCTCCAAGCGCTTCTCTTATGAAATTAACTAGTAGATATTAGCTGATCTAGTTTCCTTTAATTGACTCCAGGACTAGAGTGAGTTTAAGCAAAATACTAATAGCTTACAAAAGACTAAGTTGGTACGCAATGCAGACAACAAATCGTCTTCAAGTGAATGTCAATTGTGGAGTAATTGCCAGAGAACCGTTATATTGCCTACTTCTAGTTATATGTAAATATTCTTTCCCCATTTTCGATTTTTTGACTATTACGTGTGAAATACTCTAATTGGGAACGTATAGCAATTCGCCGTATTTCGCAAACTACTTTTAGATAAAGATCGTTGAGAAGGACGATGATTAAAATATTCATCTTACGGTGAGATCGCGTAAATAAATGGAAGTTGTGACCTCATCCAATTAGTCTCCCATGAACCGATGACTAATAAACAATCCAAATCCAGCTGTGTGCAGAAAGACACTGCAATTTTTCCCCTAATGATTAGTTAATTGATTTAAGTGGGAAATACTGTGAATTAATGTTCAAAAGTGATTTACTAATAATCTGCTGGACTTGATTTGCAGACCGACATTAATTTTTATCAACATAGCGTCCGAATTAAACCTGTTCGGAAAAGGGTTTATTTTAAATATTATAAGTTAGAATTAGATAAAATCAGTTTGAATCGTATACGGCAGAAATAGTAATCAATTGATGAGAATTTTGACGGTGATTACAAGTAACATTGAGGATTTGCCATTAAAATGCAGCCTGTATCCACTGAATTCAATTTTAAGTTCGGTCAACAGTTGCACGAATTAGATAAGCGAAATAAAGCCCTGTCTGGTTAATCTTCAGATACGCAGTTCTCCTAAATAGCAGACTAAATAGCGAAATTGTTAACGCCACGAAAGAGATAGATAATTGCTAAAGCTAACAACAGAAACCTGACTTAAGATATCGATGATGCCATGGAAATTCATATCAATTTCGAGGTTTGTTTGTGACCTTAATATTCAAAAATAAGGAAGGAGTTGACTGACCATCAAGTCTCCGCTCACCACTATCAATATTAATCAATGGTGTTTTAATTCTTGTGACTTTAAATCACTATACCTTTCCCTTAAAACTCCCATCCGCGTGGAAAAAAAATTACTTGACTTTACTAAGCAGTTCATAGTGGGTGCTATGCTAACAAGCCTTGACTATGCTCAGTAATCTCAATGAAAGATTTTACTATGCTTGGAAAGGATACCGAAATTGGCTAGGCCGCAACCAAGCTAAAAGAGAAACAGACGAATTGCACAAAGCACGTCTATTTGGGCAGTCAGATACAGACGGGGAGCCGAGCCACATTACACATTTTCTGGCATGAATACCACGCCATGACACTGGCCATTGATTGGTTGGATAATCTCGTATTGACCTTGACTGTTGATTGGTCGTCTTGGCGTTGGTCGTTGATTGATCAAGAAGCAACTGCTTACATAGAGTAGTAGTCATTTTATTTATGAATTATAATAAAATGCTTAAATTTCCTAACAAATGAATAAAATAAAAAAAGGTTAAATGAAACCTCGAATGAGTGTTTGGCTGCCCTTCAGGAAGAATTTAAGTTAGGTCATCATAGTTGGTTTTTGTGGTAACAAATAACAGTGGGAAAAATAGATTCTACTACTGTTAATATCATGCTATGTGTGGTCTAACTGGCGGCAGACGTCTTATTATTTTCCCGTTGAAAATAGGCAAAGCGATTATTACTTACCATACAACCCGAATGCTTACAACTTTCCCTTATGCCAAATGAAGTTCATCTCCCATTGGTTCACCGAAATAAGCAATGACAGAAGTGCAAAAACTATTTTCAATAGCAAGTATATCATAATAAACTGAAATCATACTCTACGCTTTATTATTACCATTTTCACCCATAAACGTTTGGGAGTTTAAATTAAATAAAAAATAAAGTATTTGTCTTAATAAAATAAAGAATTGATGAATGAAGGCTTTTTAAGCACAAAAGAATTACTTATTATTCACGAAGGATTTTTGTTCAAGTCGCCTATTTGCATTAAATGCTTTGCAAACAGGACGCTTTTCAACTCTTCACTGGCCGTATTAGCTTGTCATTTGTTGACACGGATTTATCATGTCTTGGTATTTTAATTTTGTCTTTTATTTACATTAGTCCGAAAAATTTTAGCTGCTTGAAACCCTACTTTAATATGTATGAAAGTGAATTGCAACAGCTGGTAATGGACCTTGACAAGTTAGTTGAAAGAAAGAAATTGGAATGGACAGCCAAAATTAAACAGGGTGAGACAGCATTGGCAGAAGAAAGGAAACTTCACAGTCAAACCAAGTCCATTATTGCTTTGAAAGAAGTGAAGGTTAGTCCTGCTAATTAATTTATGTCAGATTGCAAAATTATTGCAACTATTGAAAGTGCTTGAAATGAATAATGAGGCTGCAAAAACAGAATATCAGTCCACAATATCAAATTTAAATAAATCCTTGGACATTATGTCAGCAGATTTCAAAAAATTACAAAGGAAATATGACAAAATGAGCTCCCGCTCGATAACGTGCAAACAGCGTAAACAAAATGTTCAAATGCTTAATGGGTAACTTGTTTTAAATTTTCGTATTTAACACTAAAGCTGTGTTACTATTATTCTATTATTCTGATTAAGGTACCCAGACGAACTATCGAAATCCGTCCAAACAAGTCCAATCAGACTCGATAATGCTGTGCTCTCTGAATTATCTACAAAAAGGAGTGAGATAAATCAATGTTCAGAACACCTCAATGCCATTGAATTGGCATTCCGATTAGAAGTTCAGCGATTTGAACGTCAACTTAATGAGCTTGTGGAGTTGAAAGCTCAACAAGTATTATCATTTACTTACAAACTATTTTTTCGATACCATATTTATCATTAATTTTTTTCGCATTTTAGGATAAAGAGATCAAGGGACAGAAGGATAGGCAGCCACCTAAGCCTGCCACTCGAAACATCAAGCTTCAGTGGTCTCCTCCTTTGCAATCTATTATCACTAGGGAAACATCTTGTCAAATCGACATGAAGCCACGAACATTATCGATTTCTACCTTAACGGATTCCAAATATCTCAATCCGCCAGAACCCGATATGATTGTTATAAACCTTAAAGAAGTTATTCATCAGAAGAACAGTCGTATTGTGTATGCATTTGTTTTTAAATGTTGGGCTTGAATTTCGAAATGTTCCCGATCTTATACGATTCCAAACTTATTCCATTTGATTAGGGAACTAGAAGAGGCTTATTCCGTAGCTATGGAGATGATGGAAACTCTAAGGTCAGAATTGGTGGAAAACAAAACGCTATTAGCTGAGAAATGTGCTGAATTATCACAAGAGAAACTTCGAATGCGCCCTCGTAGACAACGAGGTTTCTGTTCCAAAGTAATATTTTTTAATTTTATAACTTAAAAGGCTTGCCAATCGGAATCAATTCGATTATGTGATCGGGAAATTGATGCTAAACCTATTCATGCATTGGTTGCTTGCACTCAAGTGAGTTTTGCTATCATTTTATATTATAATTGCATTCTACTTATTAATCTCAGTAGCACATTATTCTTAGACTGAGGATATAAACGGACCAAATGAAATTGTACCTGGTTTTCTAACCGAAGCCCTTATGGGGCTAGACAAAAGTCAAGGTCAAAATTCATCAATCGCATGGAATGAAAATAATTTTGTAGACGACTCCGTGGACACAACAGGTCAAGAAATAATCGACCCTCCTCCTGATACCACTGATGAACGACTGGCAAATACTCAAAATAAGGTCAACTTCGATTCTTTTTATTTATTCTTTTTACGGCTAATTTATACCTTTATATGTATCGTTTTATCATGAAAAATACTTTTTTATTTAACTTTAAGCATATGCAATATTTCGAGTTCAACCGAAATGGAGCATTGAAGGAGATTGTATGAACTAAACTGTGTGTAGCTTTGACTCCATCTCCCTTATTTAAGGAATTGTACAAGCGAAATTAAATCTTAACCAAAAGCTTCCAACCGTATTCGTGGTTTACTTAAAATGGTGCAGATTTTGTGAAAATTCAAAGTTTTTGAATTTCATTCTATTGTTTTGCCGAAATTTCTTTAAGACCAACTTTCTCCTTAAATGTAAAAAGCCTTTACATAGAAGCTTTCACGTACCCCTCACCCTCACGTACTTGATGAATCGATTATTGGGATATGGTGGAGAATCCTGACTTAGAAAGGTAGATAGCAACACTTCCTTACTTAGCCTCATCGCAAGAGATATCAGATTTCTACCAATGTAAATTTGGCACACTGAAATGTATTTTTTTCTGCTTGATAAAATAGTTCGAACCGATGCAGAAGGTAGATGACATATTTTACGTGGGATGGAGTGTTTGTTCGTCGATGCAATTTGAATTATTGAATTTGTGCTATTCTGTCTTGTATGATATCCTCTTAAGTTATTTCCTAAATATGGATGCACCATGTGGGAGGAGGTACACAATAGAAATATCAATCATGTTGTTCAGCTTGCAAAAAAATGCTCTCTGAGATTGTATTTGTAATTACTAAATTCGCTTCTGTTGCTTAATTAACAAGTTTGTATCACTTTGTACCGCTCATCCTAAGCCGCTGTGTGTTAATCACCCTTATAAAAGTGAAATATTTTAATAATCATCGAGTTATTATTTTTGATAATTTTTTGTTTTCTACCATCCGACTATTTGAAGGAAGATCCAGAACAACATGAAAATCATCTCCACCCTTTTCAAAGTAGTATTGAACTGACGTCAATTCTCCGTAATGACGGGAAATAGTAAAATTTCCGTACTAATATGGAAATTCTGCTAATTGCCTAGCACAACGGTTTAGGGATGGGTTAGAATCCGAAAGAATTAAATAACCCAGAGGGTGGAATTGATGAAGGAATGTATTTCTCTTTTTTATGTGCACATCACCATCATCTCTTGCCAATTCTGTCGGTAAAATCCATTGATGCGATGAGCCATGCTCGATTAAATATCTTTATACATTTACAATTTATAGGTTAATGTATCAATCGATATTGCTGATGCATCCAATGAAGAAGGAACGAACCTTCAGGCTTTAATGGCTGAATTAAAATCTGCTGAAGATATTTGGGCTAATCAATTAGACGACAACGTAAGTCTTCTCAAATTGGGCGAAAACCCTTCTATTCAATGTATCTACACTTATGCGCCTTTCTTTGCAGACTCCTCGTTCGAGCCCTACTTGGTTGTCTACTGAACAAAATTGCAAATTTAAGCAAATTTCCAGTGATGCGGTGAGTGCTCCTGTCATTTGCGACGGTATGGCAGTACCGGTAACATCAGCCAAAGCTTACTCACCAATTTCTTGGCATTCGAATGAAAAACATACGTGAGTCCCGTATTATCCCATGTAACAATTTTTTCCCTTTTAATTGACCCAAATTTATGGAAAGTATTTTGCTGATCAATGAAAGTGAGATATGGTGCATTCGAGTATGGTTTCAAAGATTAGATCGATTTTAATTTTCTGACATTTGTTTCTGCCACCTATTAAGAATCGCATAGTCTATTTTTAGCTTCGTAACTTTAACCTTTCTTTGTTAACAAATTAGTACAGAAGTCTAATATTTGTTGTACCTTTTTCTTCAATTTGACCTGTTAAAATGGTGAAGTCTTCATGCATGCAAACTCCATTTGGTAAACAAAGTATTCTTGTTAAGCTAATGGAGTAGTTCTGCAAGAAACGAATATGTTGTTTATGCACTAATTCTTTTTTACCACCTTCATTAAGTGAATATTCAACAAACCACCCTGTCAAGGGATTTGCTTTGTTTGAATTCTCAATGCATTTAATCATCTGCTCTTTCGAAAGCGCTGTAGCTTACTTGATCATAACAAATTGTTAGGCTTCGTGATATGACCCATGGGGTTGTAGATGAAATTACGTCTTTAATATTTAGACTTAGTTTATCTATTGGTTTATTTGTTGGTTTTTTGCTGCTTCGATACATTTTTTTCATGTTATTACAGCCAAGAGCAAGTCACATTAGTATGCCAAGACTCACCAACATTTACTAAAGGAAAACTTTTATTAATGTGAATGACAATAAGGATTTGTAATATTTGCCTTTTTTGGAAGGAATTTTGTTGTATGAATATTCGCCAGCCAGGTATTATAACACGACACCGCGACTAATTTAATTGAGTTATTTTTGGCTTTCGTACCCAACTGTAAAATACCACTTAGTTAGCGTTTACATCCTGGAGGAATTCGCCTCCTTTCGTCTATCGATTACGTAGACTACGGGATTACGAGGTGCAAATCTGTAAATGGGTTCAAGGGTAAGGGAGGAAGGTATTGAATATTTTACCTGGACACCAACTGTTCATTGGGCTTTTGTGTCCCCCTTCCCCCCCCCCCTCCCTCTGGCTGTATTTGCTTTATTGTCAATTAAATGCAAGTTTCTATTTTGCGAGCGGCTGTAGTCGAATTATTTTAGGTGCAGACGCCTACTTTGCTCTCTTCATACCTCCCACGAATTCCTGAGCAAGCCTATCTGAATATCGATTTCCTTGATTAGTGGTAGTGTAAGCCAATCGATACCGCCTAATACTTTTGTCTACAGTTTTGATGTTTGAGCTAAAAACAGGATATTGATATGATATGAAGAGGAAGATGAAAATTGATGATTTTGTTGTTAATAGAGTTTATTTTAATAATTTTAGATCTTTGGCAGGTTATCATGCTTGTTTGTTATAGTGATTAGCTACTCTGTACCGTCGATCGATAAAATCATCAAATCTAAAAGCTGTTAAGCTAAGTAGGTTCACTTTGTTTTCCAAAATCTCGAACAATTTACCTTAGAAGTAAATCTAAGATAATTTTTCTGTAGAACTTCAAGGTAGTCTCATTTATTGCCAACAATGTTTAAGCCACCCAGACGCCACGGATGGAAATTGTTTTTTTGTAAACCCTTGTCTATATTACGTAGTGAGCACAGTGTAACAAACTGACGGATCTTAATCATCAGTGTTATGCTTGTGCATGCATTTACTTTATAAACGAAAAACTAATTTCCTTGCATGTTTTAGAACGGAGCAAAATCACGAACAGCAAATCGAAATTCAGCTTCCGGAAGTGATCTCAGCTCTTGATAATGCCTACAACAATGCATTTGGAGGAGAGAACTTTACTGAGGAGGCTCCAAGTGTAGTCTTAGGAGCTCCGGAATCCTCCGCATTTGCGTACACTTCAGCAACTGCCGCTGGGGATACTTGGAATGAGGTACGCTGATAAATAATGCTCAATATTGCCACCCATTGTTAATTTCAGCGCTAATTTATGTGGCCTATTAGTAATGGTATTAAGATATCCCCTGGAATTATCCCTACGCGCGTAAGAAGTAAGTTATGGATCTCTAAATTGAGTAAGTTGGGGCAATAACCCAATGTTCGACTTCAAAAGAAATTACACACCGTTGTTCACCATTGTCGAGGAGATTACGTAGAGGTCACGATATCGGTGCTCTTCCAGTGATGCAAATGGACACTACATTGAATGATTTTGGCTAACTAGAGCCGATCTAGGGTGTCTTACTTTTATGCCCTATTCACGTTTTGATAATACTTTCCCTTATTTTCGTGGTAAGATATATACTAGATTCCAAATAGTGGGGTTAATTCTTCCGTTTCCAATGGCAAATACCTATTGGGATAACGAATACATCAATTATCCATTCTCATGCGAACTCAATTAGAATTCAACTCAACGATCCTCAATTTAATTAATAAGGAAGTTTCCGATTACGGGGAAAAAAGAGATCATTCTGTAATTAAGTAAAATGAATAAATTTCTTTCTAATTGGCCTGCTTTAAATCATTATTCTTATTAATATGAGGGTAGACATGACCATTTGGTCTCTAAACGTGATCAAAAGCCATCAAAGTTAAAATGAAAATATATGTGTGCAGACAATGGTCCTATTTTGAGCAGAAATCCTATAGTTGCCTACAAATAAGCCTATTTATTTAAGTCGAGTCTGCAAGTAGGTAGTTTGCATGCTCTCTTGTCTTAAAATTTTGCCACTATTGCTTTGGAATGCCTTGTGCGTGTTTGTCAAGTGTCCACGCTCACCAGTGAAAAGCCTCCCCATTTTTAAACTATATGCATTCGTGCAAAAAGTTGCCTTTGTCGTCTTGTGTGCTTATGACTTTTAGAGTTGGTTGTTTCATTGCTTGCTTTTTAAACCTATTCATCATAGTGAATATTTGCTTTTGTGTGTATGTGTATGTGTGTATGGAATATTTCATGGAACCTTCGTATACATATAGCAGTTCCTAATGTATTATCCGCATATCTGCTAATCGCGAGGTTCAACAGCAAATTCGAAATCTTGTAGGAACGACACTTTTATTCTAGTTTTGCATATGTGTCAGATAAATACACTGGTTTTGCACGTCTGTTAAGTCGGGGTTATTTTCTTTTAGTGGGGTTGTTGAAATGCAGTAAATATGCTATGCAATAGAATAACGAATTCATCTAC